CTCTTTCTCTCTCTCTCTCTCTCTCTTTCTCTCTCTCTCTCTTTCTCTCTCTCTCTCTCTCTCTTTCTCTCTCTCTCTCTCTTTCTCTCTCTCTTTCTCTCTTTCTTTCTTTCTTTCTTTCTTTCTTTTCTTTCTTTTCTTTCTTTCGAGATCTGGTCTCTTTATTAAACTCGTGATGAATCAACTGAGATTTCTTTAGTTGGTTGTCCTCATTTATACCATCCTTGCACTGTGCCATTTCAAAATGCAGGTGTGCGTGTGTGTGGAATCGTGTGAATAAATATTCCCCTCCACCCCCAACAAACATACCTCCCTGTAATGTGGAAAGCCACCATGTCAGGGAGAGGACTCCTAACTTAGCCCTCTTTTCTTGCTGAGCTTAGTTTGGATGCTTTGGGGAGTGGGGGGAGGGGGTAGCTTTGCATTTACAAGGTCCCGTATTCAATCCTTGGCATCTCAGGTCAAAGTATCCCTGGTAACAGTTGCTGGGAAAGGTCATTGTCTGCCACAGACCCTGGAGAACTGTTGCTGCCGCCATTCAGAGGAAGCAGAACCGAGCTAGACGTACGGATGGTCTGACTCAGGATATATAGCCGCTTCATATGTTGTTTCCTATATACAAGATAATTTTCTAATGCAATACATCCATCAAACATGCCATCTTTTCCTCTTGCCCTCCCACCCCCCACGGTGCATTTTGTAATAGTACGGTCCCTGATTTGGAGGGGTGGGGTCTTGCTTAATTCACGGTGTGCAGTGAAAGATTAAGATGGGTAACCATGTTTGTCTTTAGCAGTAGAAAAGCACAACAGTCCAGTAGCACCTTAATGACTAACAAAATTTGTGGCAGGGTATGAAGAAGAAGAAGAGATTGGATTTATACCCTGCCCTTCACTTGGAGTCTCAGAGCGGCTTACAAACTCCTTTGCCTTCCCCTCCCCACAACAGACACCCTGTGAGGTGGGTGGGGCAGAGAGAACTCTGACAGAAACTGCTCTTTTTCAAGGACAGCTGTGCCAGAGCTTGTGACTGACCCAAGGTCACATCAGCAGCTGCATGTGGAGGAGTGGGGAATCAAACCTGGTTCTCCCAGATTAGAGTCCGCGCACTTAACCACTACACCAAACTGGCTCTGGTTTTGTGCGTCACTGCTCACTTTTGCAGATACCGCTAGAAGTGAGCAGGAATTCACAAACACTCATCCCTTGCTACAAATTTTGTTAAACTTTAAAATGCTACTGGGCTCTTGCTGTTTTCTGCTGCTACGGACTAACACGGCTACCCTCAGATACCGCTAGAAGTGAGCAGGAACTCAAACGCTCATCCCTTGCTACAAATTTTGTTAATCTTTAAAATTCTACTGGGCTCTTGCTGTTTTCTGCTGCTACGGACTAACACGGCTACCCATCTTGATCTCTCTCCGTGGAAGGCACCACGTTTAGCCATCAGAATGGAAATCCATCAGCCTTGTGAAGAAACTTGCACAGGTACAAACAGACATCGTCTTTCTCATCAAATGCAGAAGACTTTACAATCGAGACCTAGGTTTCCTGTCTCATTACCAGTGCTGATTTCTCAATGCCTACTACCCCTCTACATATCACACCTGATCCAATCACACCTGCTGTTGTCATTCAGCATCTGAAATCACTCCATTCTCCCAAGGTATAAGGACAGACGAACTCACATTCTAGCTGTATCTGAAGAAGTGAGCAGTGACTCACGAAAGCTCATACTCCGCCACAAATTTTGCTAGGTGCTACTGGACTCTTTCTCTTGTCTGCTGGTGTACAGTGAGTTTGGTTAAATGTTTCCCATCTCTGTATGTAGGTACCCCTTTTTTCTTCTGAGACGAGCCCAACCAGCCGATCAAAATAGAGTCCCTCAAGGTGAAAGTTGACTTCCTGAAGGTGCCCCTCGGCCTGAAGAAGCCCACTCTGAAGGAGGCAGCGGCTGCCTTGGCAGCCGTCCCAGGGCCTGGGAGACCCAAGTCCATCAACGTGGACCGCTACAAGGCTCGGCGTTCTGACAACATGGACAACGAGTCGCAGTACTCGGGGTACTCCTACAAGTCGGGTCACTCGCGCAGCTCCCGGAAGCACAGGTGAGCACAAGGTCAGGGTGGATGTGCAGGGATTTCTCTTCGGGTAGGGGATGTGTCACTCTTCTGCTTCAAAATATGACTTCCCAAATTTTCGTCCCCTTCACTTTCATCTTTGTTGACGTTTCCTGTCAAAACTTTTTTTATTTTGGATATAACAACACATTCAACATTACATTACAATTCTTTTATCACATATCCCTTTCTATTAACTCCTCCCCCCCCTTTGGTGGCTTCCCGCAATGCTCTTCCCCCCTTTCCCCGTTTGTATTTCTATCTTTACTCTCCCCTTATCCTCTTAAACTTCAAGGTAACAATATCTTAATCTAAACATTCCAAACCTCTATATCTTTCAGCCCTTAAAAATTATCAAAACAAAGTAAATTATGTTTTACATCCCAATTTTTTTCTAGATATTCTTTAAAGTCTTTCCATTGTTCAGAAAATTCTTGATCTTCCTTGTTATTAAGTTTCTTCGTTAATTTGTCCATTTCAGCCATATGTAACACTTTCTGTATCCATTCCCATTTTTCTGGTATTCTATCCAACTTTGTTGACGTTTCCTAATCGGTGTCTTTGACAGTCCAATAGAAATAATATTTTTATCTTGCCTTCCCCAGACAGCTGAAGGCATCTTATGAACAGTATACTTCTCATACGTTGTTACAAAATTTACAGTGATGAAAGTGAAAAATCCAGCTTTTGGTGTTTGCAGAATGCTTCAAAAGTTATTTACTGATTGGTTTTAGACTTATCTGTTACTGCTAGAGGCTTCACTGTCTTTTGCCTCAGAACTGAGTGGGGATAGAGGACGGGGGACAGGTTCTTTTTCTACAAGCCATGAAAAACAGCAGAAAGGTGCAGGGCTCTTATCGTGGGGCTGAGGCAGGATGGCAGCGGGGTGGCCTGATTAAGATCCTCTCCTGACTCGAAGTGAGCCGCTGAGTGCTGAATCGGGAGCCAACAAGCCCATAACTCCCAGCGTGCGCTACTTTCTTCCTCTGTTTCCCCAACCCAGAGATCGGCGGGAGCGGCACCGCTCCAAAAGCCGAGATGGGAGCCGAGGGGACAAGTCGGTGACCATCCAGGCCCCTGGGGAGCCTTTGCTGGACAACGAGTCGACTCGAAACAGCAGAAAGGTGCAGGGCTCTTATCGTGGGGCTGAGGCAGGATGGCAGCAGGGTGGCCTGATTAGGATCCTTTCCTGACTCGAAGTGAGCTGCTGAGTGCTGAATCGGGAGCTAGCAAGCCCATAACTTCCAGCGTGCGCTACTTTCTTCCTCTGTTTCCCCAACCCAGAGATCGGCGGGGGCGGGGCCCGCCCCAAAAACCCGATGGGAGTCGCA